AAGCGCCCCACGATAATTTCGTCCTGGTCGGTTCTCATGACCATTTAGTCGAATGAAGTCTTCCACTCGTCTCATGTTGCGTTTAATCCTGTTCCGAGCTGGCGCTGAGATGAATGAGGTTGGATGCATATAACCAGCTGGCAAAGATAGATTGTGCCATGTATATCGTGTGCGTGTAGGCAAACTGATGTGGTCTAATCTACCACCCGGTTCTCAGTTGCATTGTATGCTTTTGTTCTATTTGTTTTAGTTTGAACAACCATTATTCATGCATTTTCATGCGCCGGTTTGAGTTGCTGGCTTTTTCGTTGCCCATTTGGATGTATAGTAGGAGAAAGACAAGATAGTTGAAAGTAGAGTGGAATGGTAAATGGTGAAATATGGTGGCCTAATATTGCAAAGAAACGGAGAAGATTCACGAGCACCAGTGTTTACGACACAGCCATATCTCCTAGTGTCTCTAACTATCGGTTGCAAGCATCCTGAGGTGCCCATTCAGGGAGCCTAACAACGAGACTGCATCTTGACGTGGTGTGATGGCTAGCGTATTTATATATATTTCACACTTGTCTGAGGACAGACTGTGTGCCAAACAAATCATGGTACAATAATCTTTATAAAAAGAAAAATGTTCCATGATTGGCTTGTGGGCTGAGTACTGCCAGGTTGCCCAGGCCAACACAGGTGAATTTTCTTGAGGAATCCACAACCGGAGCCTTCGACAAGCCAAAGCCTGACCCGCAAGGCAGCGGGGCGGTGTGCGAAAACGGCAGTCCATTGGGAGCCAGTGCCCAGTTCATCGGATCATACGCCCTTCGGACGGGGTCAGACGTCCAAGGTGCCCAATACACCTCAATGCCCAATCGAGCCGGTGACCACTGCCGCAACCGAAAAGGTGTGGGTGTGGTTCGTGCGTCTCCTCATGGTTGGTTTGGAATCAGGGTTTTTGGCCAACTCCCCTGGGTGAACTGCCAGTGGTCCGGCTATAGCCCCGGATGTCGGCTTTTCGTCCTCTCACTTTGGTGGGAAAACACCTCCGCCGCGAGAAGGCAGTGAGTATGGCTTCCTCAGCAGAAGCTATTTGAGACGCTTGGTTGTATGGGGGCATTTCGTGAGGTGCAAGGGCAGGGTGACCAGCCGCAACCCTTGACACCCACCCCCAACCATACAGCGGCCTTGGGAGGCATGGCTAGCGTACCTCCGTGACTCTGCGAGCTACACAAGATGGCTCATCAGAGCCGTAGGTCCAACCATGCCTGAAAGGTAGAGGTCAGACGATGATCATTCTCACAAGGTCAGCTGCTTGGGCACATCCTGGTTTCCTTCTTCTATCCACTTCAGCTCCTAGAGAGGTCACTCCAGCAAATAAACATGAGGAGGGGCAGTTTATCGGTTTATAACCCTGCTAGATGGACGTAAGAGCGGGGGTACATTGGGCTTGCTCTCGACGGTGGGAGAAGTCATTAGACAGCTACTTTCCGCCCTAAGCTGGGCAGCCCCTAGCCAATAAGGTGCTGTCCCGTCCATGTTCCGCTTGTCTCATTGGGTGCATAAGGCTGAGGGCCGATCCAGAAAAGCGGACCGACAATCAATGCACCAGCGCACAAAAACCTGAACCGAAACCCGAAGGCCTTACGTGACCGGTCTCTGGAAGCTCCCACACGGGTGCTTCGTTCACTCTTCGGCNTTGGATTTACGCCCTACCGCCTTCTGGGTCAGACTTTTGAGTCAAAGGCTCCGGTTAGAGTTCCCAAAGAATAGCCCCTTCGTTGGTGTGAGCTGCCTCGAAGTGTGTTGTGCCCTACAGTCTTAGGCACACATTTGGAATAACCTCTTTTCCATCTGTCTAGTTTTCCCTCTCAATCCTGTTCTACTTGTGGGCTATCGGTTTCTAAACTCAATTAACTCCATGGATCTGCGCTGCTCATGATTCCCAACCAGACGACTTGCTGGCTATTACTTGAACTACTCGGTTGGACGGCTTCCTCAGTATTGATAAATTTCTGTTAACCGGGGGGGGGGGGGG